AGCTGGGGGGGGCTGGGCAGGTGGCAGAGCCCAGAAGAAAGAGCCCTTGTTTTATCTTCTTCCTTCTCCTTCTCAGGTAAGAAAAAGGTGAAGGGCGTGGGGTGGGACCTTCCTGCTTTGTTTTACAATTGCCCAGGGCTTCAGAAAGCCTGTGAAATGTTCTTCTAACCACCAAGGGCTCTTACCCTTCTACCAGCATCATCAGATAAGGCTCAAATAGTTGGGGTGTGCGTGTGTAATTGCTGGTCTTGGGACGCTGCAGGCTCAGCCTCACTTTGGGCCCAGAACCCACGGGTGCAGAAGGGTCCTGTGACAGAAACAGCCACTGACGAAAGCCAAGACTCCCTGAGTTTATGAGCCAGGCAACATAAGTGTCCTAGATGAGGAGGTGCTGTTAACTCCCAATACTGCTGAAGACCGCACTGTTTCTCGGTGGAAACGAGATTATTAACATATCTCTCTACACTACACGGTCAACCTTGTCTGTTTTCCCATCTTAATAGGAAATGGGATTAGAACTGGCTTCTTAGTCTTCTTGGGCTATGGAATCCCTGGAAGGACCTGGAATCCTCTAATACTCCTCAGCAATGCAGACACACACCCAGAACGGTTGCTGGTGCTCAGGTTCCAGGTTAAGAACGGAGCCTCTAGCTGCTGCATTCCAGGAAGCCGGAATGAGGGCTCTGCACTTAACCTCAGTGCCATACCTCAAACCCTTCCCTAATCACCCAGGCTGGAGTGTAGCTGTAAATACACCAGGTCTCAGCTGTTAAAGATCGTAGTCAAAACCAGGGACCCAGTTAGTCCTGCCATTTCCCAAATTTCCTGATACGGGCGCTTTCCTGTCTGAGCTCCCTTCTAGAGAGAAAAAAATAAAAACGTGTGTGTGTGTGTGTGTGTGTGTGTGTATAGTCTTGACCTTTCTGATCTCTGCACCTACTATGTGCCTGTAGTGATCTGCATAGAACTGACTTACCTAGGACCTAGGAGTTAAGAACTTGGGCCTTCTCTTTGTACATTGGCATCTGTTGCCTACATAGGAAACCAAACCTGGGGCCCCTCCAAACTGGCTCGCACATCTGTGCCTACTCTGAACTCAAACAGAATCTGAAGTAAAGCAAATAAAAATTGAAGTCAATAGAAGACAGTGAAAAGGACATTCATTCCAAAAGGGAGCATTGTGTACAAAGGCTCAGACACAAAGTTTGCTTAAGTTCCTATGGCTTCCTCTGCCTGCAGCAAAAACTAAGGAAGCAGAGGAGCTCAAATACCAGTTTGGGGAGTCGGATTTCTTACAATGAGTTCCAGATAGTGTGCGATAGGAAAATTGACAGCTTTCCTGGGTTCCATTTTCAACCTTTATTCAAACCCAAAATTCTTAGCTATGCAACCATAAACAAGTTGCTTACCCTCTCTGAGTCAGTTTCCTCCTCTTAAAAAAAAAAAGGAATAAAACTTGCAGACAACAGAAAGCAACTGAGGGGATGTAGGGAGGTCATTCTGGAATCAGGGAGGTCCTGTGGACTGAGGCACAGGCTTGGTGTGGGGAAGGGGGACTCCTTTCTGCCTCTAACTTCAGAGGTCTCCCTATGGCACAGATTTCTCTGTGGCCGTGAAAAGATTTGGGCTGGGAATCACCCATTGAACGAATACTGATGTATGCCTACTGTGCCAGGCCTTGTTCTAAGCACTGAATCATACAAAGTTTCATCCCTCGGGGATTGTAATGGGGGAGGCCAACGAAAACAGATTAAAAAAAAGTAACAAAGTTACAAGGCGAGCCCCCAGCTCTGCCTCAGTTTCTTTAACAGATGGGAGAGGAGTCTGGGGCCTCTCACAGTCCTAATCGGCTCGGCCCACAATTATTTCCGCGCGCACATGGCTGACACCCACTTCCTTTGGCTTATTTCCATTCTTAGGCTGGAGCTCTGGGGTTTAGGGAGCTGCGTGGGAGGGGCGAGCGTGTATGACGTCACTTCCGGCACACGGCGGAACTGGCCTCCCTTTGCTTCCGCGGCGGGGCCGGAAGTAGAAGTGGCGGTGGAGGCGGCCCGAAGCGGAGGGAAGGCGGAAAGCAAGTAGCCCGAGAGCCCGAGTCGAAGTCGCAGCGGCGGTAAGAGTCGGAGACCCCTCTAGGCCACCGTCCCTGGCGTGGGACCGCGGGGTCCGACGGGAGTTAGCGGGGGGCGCCCAGGGCCGTGGGGCGCTGTGCGGGGAGATGAGGGAGACCGAGCCAGCTCCGGGATGGAGTTGACCCCCCCACACACACGCTTGACGCCCCCTACGGACACTCTGATGTGGGCTTGTCTTCGCTTTTCCCAGGAGACCCCTGTGCGGTGCGGAGGGGGCGGCGGCCCCGGCTCTGACCCGCGCCGGGGGGGTGGGCCATGGCGGAGATCAGCGACCTGGACCGGCAGATCGAGCAGCTGCGGCGCTGCGAGCTCATCAAGGAGAGCGAAGTCAAGGCCTTGTGCGCTAAGGCCAGGTGAGCCCGCTGGCCTCGGGCTGGGGGGCCCCGCTGCTGCACATAGCTCCGGCCGGGGGCAAAGCTAGCTGAGCACTGGGGGCCTGGCTCACCCCCGAAACTTCCCCAGAGAAGAACAGATGAGGGCCGCTTCCTTCCAGGAGCAACCAGTCCGTTGGGGGGAAGACAGACCTGGATAAAGACACTGATAGTATTAGATGTTGTGTTTCCAGTGGAGTTAAGAGAGTTCTAGAAAGTTCTTAGGAAGCGCAGGGACACAGCCCTCTCTGTTGGGGGTACAGAGAAGGCTTCTTGGAGGAACTGAACTTTGGGGGCAGGCCTTGAAGAGTAAGATAGTAAAAGGGAGTGTCCACAAGAATAGAAGTTCAAAGGCAGAAAGGCTAAAGAGACTCTGGTTTATACAATTCTTTTAATCCCAGCAGCAACCCTTCAGGTTGGGTGGTATCGTCCCCATTTTACAGGCGAGGACTCTCAGATTCAGAGTCAACCAGCAAGTCAGGGATGGACTCTGAAGCCAGTTCTCCAAGGCCTGTCCCTTTTCAGGCCATGATGCAAGAAGGTGGAGTTGGATCGCGCAAGTTCACTGTGGGAGCCTAAGACGTGGTAGCGGATAAGTCAGAGTACAGTTAAGTGTAGGAAGGCAGGCCCAACTCTCAAGTTCTGTGGGAAGTGGGATAATGTAGTGGTTAAGAGTCCAGATTTTGGAATGATGGCTAGGTTGGACTCTGCCACTTATTAGCTGTGTTGTTGGAGATCTCAGTTTTTTGATCTGTGAAATAGGAATAATAGGATTTAATACGGTGATTGTGAAATGTCAGTGAGTTGGTAAGTTGGTGTGTGGGAGGAGCTTAGCATCCTGCTTTGTTACAATGTAAGAGCTCAACAATCCTTCCCTGTTTTTACTGTGTAGGACTAGGGCACTGCTGATATGGACTGAAGTCTTCAGGGAAGGCTTACAGGAGGTGGCCTTGGAAGATGAAAATAATTTGGCTAGCTGATGGCAGCAGGCCCCATGAGGAAGGTTTTCCAAGCAGGATGAGAATAGGAGTGGAGGCCCTGACGTGTGTGGGCAACAGTGGGGAGACCAGTTATCTGTTTGATGGGCTTCCACCACGCTGCAGAATTGTGGGGAAAGAGCCAGCCGAATTACCCTACATTTTGAACAATAGGCCCACTATTATTAGCCTGGCCTTGTACTAGCGAAGAATTTATACCCATTTGCTCCCCACAGCAATCTTGTGAGGTTGGAATTATCAGCTCCACTTTCTAGAACAGCAATCCATGACTCAGAGGCTTAGTGACTTGACTAAGGTCACCCAGAGAGAAAGTGGCAGAGCTGGGTTCTGAACTTGTGGCGGTCAGACTTTTTGCTTAGCGCAGCCCCATGTAGACAGACCCATTGCAGCCAGAGAGGGCCTGTGTGGGTTTGGTGAATGAGGTGAGGCCCCCCCCCCTTCTTTTTTTTAAGATTTTATTGGGGAGGGGAACAGTGTTGGAAATTGGGGAGAGGTCCAGCCAAGTTCTTGTTCTTTAATCTTTGTCGTGGAGGGCGCCAGTCGCCATCTGGTTTCCCGTCGGCAGTTTGTAGCCTCTAAGCTCAAGGTGCTGTGTTCAATCTTAGTTGCGGGTGGGCATAGCCACCATCCCATGCAGGAGTCGAACCAGCAGCCTTGTTGTTAAGAGCACACGCTCTATCCACTGAGCCATCCGGGCAGCAGCTCAGCTCAAGGTGCCAAGTTCAGTCTTAGTTGCGGGTGGGCGTAGCCCACCATGGCATGTGAGAGTCGAACCACGTGATCTCACCAGCTGAGCCACCTGCCACCTGTTGGCAGCTCAGCGACAGCTCAGCTCGGGCACAGCGTCACTGGCCCATGTGGGAATCGAACCGGCGGCCCTGTTGCTCAGAGCTTGCGCTCTTAAGCCAACTTCTAACCAACTGAGCCACTGGGCCAGCCCATCAAGGCCCCTTTTTAAGTGCTTGTCTAGCTCTCCCATGTTTTTCCTGCTTCCTCAGTCTTGACTGGCACTTTTAGAAACTAAAACCCATTGCTGCCTGGCACTATTCTTGATCCTGTAAGTCCTATCTCCCCCCATAGGACCTGGATTAATTTGGTGGTCATGGTCGCTAATGCTTGGATAGCATGGTGGAGTTTCCAGAATAACCGAAGTTATGTACTCTGTCTCCACTGTTCTTTGCAGCAGCCCGATGGAATAGGCAGGGCAGGGGTGAGCCGCTCACAGAAGAGAAAACCGAGCCTCAGAGAAGCTAATGTTTTGCCCAGGCCTCACGGCTGGTTGCGGGGGCGGTAGGCTTTGGATCCAGGCCTTTCACTGGACTCCAAGCTCAGGCTGAGACAGTTAAACTGTGAGAGAGGCAGTAGGGAGCTGTAGAGGACTGAAGGATAGGAGGGTCCTGCCCAGCTGACACTGAGATGGAGCTCTGAGGTACTAGACTGAGGCCTGAGCTGACCACTGTCATCCCAGGCCCAGTTCTGAAGAAGGGCCGACTCTAGCACCTGGGGACCCAATGGGGGCCCAGACCCAGGCCAGAGCCGGTAGTGTCAAGAGCTTTGGCTTGCTCTGAGGGTGTGTAGACCCAAACCCATGGGACTACAGAGTCCTGAAGTGTGTGAGCTGAACTTGCTCCTATTAAAAGTCAGCATATTCAAAGGGCAGAGAGTTTTTTAATCAGGTGGTCTTCAGCATGAATCCCAGCTTTGTCACCTGTACATCATATGACTGGTCAAGTCACTTTACCTCCGCAAAGCTTCGAAATCCTTCTGAAGCTCAAATGAGATTCTGCATATCTGAGGACAGGCCATGGCACTTTGATAAGTGGCGCGTTGGTTAAGAGTTGGCTTGGAACGCCAGCTCTGAGCGGCAGGGCCCCGGTTCAGACCCCACATTAGGGCCGGTGGCGCTGCGTCCTCTATAGCTGAGATGGTAAACAACAGCTCGACCAGGGGCTGGGCTGTCGTGAGTCGCCGGCGACGGCGTAGGCTGCAGTGGAGCTGCAGTGGGCTGCTGTAAGCTACCATGAGCAGCTGGCAGCTGGCGTAAGCTGCTGAGAGACGCCGTGAGCAGCTGTCCAGTGGCCGGTGACCCATCTGCCTCACCCGGGAAGAGCGCAATGATAATACCAACATGGGCTGGTGAGGCGATGTCCTCCATAACTAGACTGAAGAACAAAAGGACAGCTACTTGTCTGTTCCCCTTCCCCAATTCCCCAGTGCTGTTCCCCTCCCCCAATGGGGGGGGGAAGCAATGTTAGTTGTGGGAGTAAAGGTGAGCAGGTGTGAATGATGAGAGGGCTGGTGCTGTGGCTGGTGGTGTGCTGCAGGTGACAGAGCTAGGGTCCGAAGCCAGGACTTGTGCCCGGACTGTGCTGGGGCCCTGCTAACACTAAGGCTGGCTTTTGACCCACAGTCTGGAAGGGGCTGGCAGAAATTCTCAGGGAGTTGGGCTCCTGGGTTCCAGGGTTCCAGTTCAGGCTCTCTCCAGCTTTGTGACCTTGACTCTGCCCCTTTTTTCTTTAAGACTTGGTTTCTTTATCTGTCAGATGAGGATGAAGAGAACCTCCCTGAGTCAGGTGCAAAGGTCATTATAAGCGCTTGATGGGGAAGGATGTTGAATACAGGTGCAGCACAGGTGGGAGAGCCTAGTAGCTTCATGGCCCCTGGGACCACCGCCACTGCCTCCTGCCATCCCCAGAAAGCCAGGGCTCACCTCCAGGAGCACCCCCAAAGGACCTACAGGGAACTCTGAGCTCAGGGAGCCCCAGTCTGGTAGGAAGAGCGAGGGTGAGGCAGAGCTTGGCCTCAGCGCAGTAGCTTGAGAAAAGAGCCAGACCCTGGAGCGGGCTGCCTTGGTTGCAGTCCCGCGGGTATGACTGCAGTCATTCATTGGAGCAGGGGAACTGTCACAGTGCCTGCCTGCCTTTGAGGGTAGTGGCTTGATGGTGTGCTTCATCTACGCAACACTCTTACTGCAATCATGGCACACGGTGTGAACTAGAATGTTTACCGCTGCTGCTTTCATCAAGATGAAATCAGGAAATGGGGTACTACTTAAATTGGGTGTCTACCTAACACGTTCACTGCAAAGAGGGATGAAAGAACAAAGTCCATACTTCCTCTAAATACATAATGAAATAAAGTAGCAACAGTATCACTTTGAAGACCACACTGATGTGGGCCTCCCCAAGGCACCCCACTGTGCCTGAGCGAAGGCCCCTAGGATGGGCAGAGAAGGGAGCATAAGCGCTCAGCCCAGGGCCCAGGCTGGGAGCGCTCCAGGCTGAGGGGCAGGGAGGAGAGCTGTTTCCTGGGGGTGCTAGATGTGTGAAGGGGAGCAGCAGAGCTGGGAAGGTCAGCCTGTCTGGAAAGGCTTTGGAAACGAACAATAGCTTGGCCTTTGACCTGTTGGCAGTGAGGAGCCACGCAAGGGTGTGGAGCAGTGGTCAGTGTCTCCTGGGGAGATCGCACACCTCACTCCTGCCCCTTAGCGGTTCAGGGACCACCTCCTAGCCTCCTTCCCCCCCCAACAAAAGGTCAGGAGTTGGGCTGGGCTGGCCTGGCTGTGGTGACCCTGGTCTTCTGTCTCCAGAGAGATCTTGGTAGAGGAGAGCAACGTGCAGAGGGTGGACTCGCCAGTCACAGTGAGTAGCCCTTGTCCCTCCAGAGCCTGCCTCGGTCTTTGGGCTCCAGAGCTCTACCCCTCATCCTGGGGAGCCCCATCTTCAAGGGAGTCACACTATAAGAAATGGATGTTATGGGAAGGGTCTTTTGTCGGGAGGATACACTTGGCCAGGGCAGGTGGACTCTTAATTTGGTGAGTGATTCTACTCCACGTGTTTCTTCTATGTGTTTTGTGTCATTAGTAACTTTATTCCAGATACCTTGAGAGGAGTAGGGCGAGGAGGGGGTCCGGTCCTCCAGTAGCTGCAGGTCTAGCTCTTGCCCACAGAATAGTTGACATTCAGTGTGGGATGGAGGTTGATTCCAGGCCAGGCTAAGTTAGGGTGGGAAATATCTGGGGCCCTGAGGAGAGTGATAAGGATCTACTAAAGCAGTGGGTGGTTTCAAGATAGCCCCTGGGAGCAGAGGCCTTCGGACCGTGAGTTCCCACCCACCTTCTCACTGCCCAGGTGTGCGGCGACATCCACGGACAGTTCTACGACCTCAAGGAGCTGTTCAGAGTAAGTGGGGGGAACACGAGGTGAGGGGCACCACCGAGGGGTGACTACAAAGCTTTAACCCTACCAGACCTGAGGCCCTGAACCTAACTGTCCCCTATACCTGGGCTCCTGAGCATTAAAGAGAAAAAACCAATATGATATAGAAAAATGTTAGTTACATGCAAACAAGTGGTTAGAATAAGATGGAACTTGGAGACATTGTAGAAAATAGGTCTACCTTTCATCTAGCGCCAGTATTCCACCTTTGTGTGCCAATCCACCCAGCAGGATGAGCCTTGTTTCACACAGAGGTACTTCTTGCAAAGTGAGCACCAGATGTTGCTCTTCACCTTCTTGCATGGATTGTCTTTGTAAGACACTCCAGGATTTTGCTTGTTGTACCTGGAGTGCTTTTCCATGCACACAACACAGATATGATTAGATATGATTAGAAATTACTGAAAAATCGGTCCAGCGGTCTGGTAGGGTTAAATCTGCTGAGTGGAGTGGGGGCAAGAGGCCTCTGGTTAGGTGGGCCCTTTGAAAGAAGGGCCTCAACTTGACTGGAAATGGGCCACCCCAGTGGGCAGAGAACAGTTGAGGATGAAGCAGGATTTTCCTCCCTCCCGCTAGGTGGGTGGCGATGTTCCTGAGACCAACTACCTCTTCATGGGGGACTTTGTGGATCGTGGTTTCTACAGCGTTGAAACGTTTCTCCTGCTGCTGGCACTTAAGGTGGGACCGCTGGCTTCTAGAGCCCACACCTGGGCCCCCTTGGGCCTCACCTGTCTGCATCGTCTCTGCCCACCCCCCCAGTTGTGCTGCTGGTGCTGACAGGTTCTGCTGGGGGTGGGGGGAGGCAGTCAGAGAAGCTTCCGTGACTTGGGGGCACCTGATTGGGTCCCTGAGGTATGAGGTCAGAAGGGTGGCATTGTAGGGGAGGAAATGGAGGGTCACTGTGTTCCAAACGTGACAAGGAGCTGCGTTCAGCTGGATACAGCATCCCCAGGTGAGAGGCAGGCTGTATGGGACCAGGGGCCAGAATGCTGTGAATGTCCTGTGAAGGACTTGGTCTTCCCTGGCAGGTGAAATAGGAGCCCTTAGGTCTGTAGCTGATTTTTTGGGAGAGGAAGGGGGGATCAGCTTTGTATCCTCTGGAGGAGGAGCTGGGGACTTCGTGCAGGGGGCGGTAACACCATTCAGGCCAGAGGTGACTGCTGTGAATCTGGGCCGGGGGTAGTGACAAGGATGGAATGGGACCGGCAGGTGTGAGATTAGGAGGGAGATGGAGCCTTGACCCGACCCTGCTTGGTCCCCCCCCAGGTCCGTTATCCTGACCGAATCACCCTGATCCGGGGCAACCACGAGAGCCGTCAGATCACCCAGGTCTATGGCTTCTATGATGAGTGCCTGCGCAAATACGGCTCCGTGACTGTGTGGCGCTACTGCACTGAGATCTTTGACTACCTCAGCCTGTCAGCCATCATCGATGGCAAGGTATGTTGGCCACAGCTCTGCGGGGCTGGGGTGGTGGGGCGCTGGGCCTCAGCTTCCTTCCCTCCTTGCTCTCCCTGTAGATCTTCTGTGTGCATGGGGGCCTCTCCCCCTCCATCCAGACCCTGGACCAGATCCGGACAATTGACCGGAAGCAAGAGGTGCCTCATGATGGGCCCATGTGTGACTTGCTCTGGTCCGACCCTGAAGGTGAGGGCAGGTGGGCGGGCATTACCCTGGGTTTGGCAAGAGCCTGAGGGGTCCTTTGGTTAAAGCAAGTGCCTTGAAGGGAGAGTCAGGCCTGTTGAGTTTGGGGAAGAGCAGGGCGGGCTGGTCTTCACTGACGTCTGCACTTGACCTGTGGACCCGCGGGCACCCTTGATCAGGAGTGTGGGGAGCTGGGTGCTTTGAGCTCAGAGAGGGAATTGGGGCCCGTATGTCAGAGGCCTGTTTAGGACAAAAGCAGTGGTTCCCTGAACGGGAAGGGTTTTCTGCAGAGGTCAAGTGCCTGGAATGATAGACCCCTGAGAAACCGTCATTTTGTGGGGTTCTCCAGCAAGCCCAGAGCAGAGCTGAGACTGAAAGCCAAGTCTCCTGGGTACCAGCCCAGGGCTCCCTCCAACATAGCACACACAGCCTCCTTTCCTTCCTGCCACCTGCCTGCCTGTCCTGTTACCGCTGCCAGACGAGCTGTGACAGCCCTTGTTCCCACCTGCTGTACCCACCCACGTGGTTCCTGTGAGCACCTTTTACTTTCGTGTGTACCTGTTACAGGGTCACTCTAATTATGAGGTGGCTCCAGCTCTCAGGAAAGCCTGTCTTCGGCGCTTCTCTGCGTCAGCATTTGCTGTCCTGGCCCCCAGGTCCCCCAGAATATATTCAGGCCCTGGTGCTCCTCCAGCCTGATTGGGGGAGGGGGACAGGATATGCTCCTTTGAGGACACTCTCTCCCCACCCCTTCCTCCCTCTGCCTCAGACACAACAGGCTGGGGCGTGAGCCCCCGGGGGGCTGGCTACCTGTTTGGCAGTGATGTGGTGGCCCAGTTCAACGCAGCCAATGACATTGACATGATCTGCCGTGCTCATCAGCTGGTGATGGAAGGTTACAAGTGGCACTTCAACGAGACGGTGCTCACTGTGTGGTCAGCACCCAACTACTGCTACCGGTGAGCTTCCCTGGCCAGAGGTCAAGGTGGGGTTGGGGTTGGGGGTGGGCCTACACACTCTTTAACTGCCACCCTCCACCTTCCAGCTGTGGGAACGTGGCCGCCATCTTGGAACTAGACGAGCATCTCCAGAAAGATTTTATCATCTTCGAGGCCGCTCCCCAAGAGACACGGGGCATCCCCTCCAAGAAGCCCGTGGCCGACTACTTCCTGTGACTCCTTTGGCCCCTGCCCCCCTCCAGCCCCTCTGGCCCTTGGACCACTGTGACTGCCTTCTCCTCCAGACAGGCTGGGTGTGGGGAGCTGTCCCCAGCTTTGCTGTTCCCCCAGAGAGGGCACTTTGAGGGCGAGGACTTTCTCTGGAGAGGCTCAGAGCCTCAGCTCCATGCTCCTCCTCTCCTTTCTCCCCACTTGAACCATGAAGTTTCCAATAATTTTTTGTTTGTTTTTTTTCTTTGTTTGTTTTTTTTTTTTGTTTTTAGATAAAAATTTTGAGAAAAAGAAAAAATTCTAATAAAAGAAAAAAAATGGTCTTTGGTTTTGTGTCAGATTTGACGGGGGATGAGCAGTGACGACGGCCTGGGGCCTGGGGTGGATGTTCGGGGCTTGCCTGGTCCAGAGCCCTGATCCTCCGCAGAAGGTGAGAGGTTCCTGGTCCCCAACTGCTGACAGTGACCCCTCTTCCTGTGTGCCAGGTAGAGGCCTGGGTTCTCAGAGGCGGCCCTACTTAATTCTCAAAACAGTGAGTGTCGGGACACTGATTCTCCGTTATCCCGAAGAGGAACCAGGCCCAGGGCAGGTGGATTTATGAGTCCAAGGTCAGGCAGCAGGAAAGGGCCAGTTTAAACCTGGCCGGGGCCTCCCCATAAAACCTTTGCTCACCCAGCCCCTCCCAGGACCAAACACCATTCACCCAGTTTCAAGAGCACTGCTGTCTTTTGAGTTTTATTAACAAAAATACTCTGGTCCTGAGAACAGGCTGGTGTGGGCCCCATTGGGGTGAGGGTGAGGCCCCAGGAGTGGGCAGTGCGGGTCCCAGGCCCCCGTTTGGCCAGGCAGCCTCCCTCCATTCACACCGAGGTGAGAGCCCAGTAAGGGGAAGCTGGCCCCAGCTGGGCTCCCAGCAGCTTAGCCAGAGCTTTGAAGCCAGAGGGGGGTGGGAGTGAAATCGAAGTGTGAAGTGGGGTGGGGGAGGCCCAAGGCAGCCATTTGGTGTGGGGGATGGGCCAGTGGAAGTAAGGGGGCTCCGGGCCTGGGGGAAGGGAACTGGAAATCTGGGATGGAGCACCCAGGTGGGGAGGCAGAGGGGCCCAGCAATGGTTAGTACATGGGTTTGGAGACCACATCCAGGTAGGCCCCAGGCCCAGGGTAGGGGAGGGAGAAGGGGCCTCCTTGGAGGAAGTGTGAGGCAAAGGGTGCTGGGGATGCGGCTGGGTACCCTGAGCCCCCTGGCCCAGACTGTAGTTCCAGGAACGCAGCTGAGTAGGGGGCCGAGCGCCCAGAGTCTACAGCCTCAGGGAAGCTGGGGTTCCTGAAGTGGAGAAGAGGGTCTGAACAGGAGAGGGGTTGCCCCCACCTGGAACAGCCCAGCTGGGTGCCCTGGTGTCCTACTCACCTGGTTGGAAGATGATTGGGGGCCCCGTGGAAAGCTGCAGGGTGTAGAAGGTAGGCCTCTGCACTGGGCCCAGCACAGGGAGGAGCCGGGACCAGGGCAGTGTCCCTGCGCGCGGGGGCCTGTTCTGAATCTGACTCACGAACATCCCCACCCAGTGTGGAGTCGCAGGGACCACCTGGTGCCTCTGGGGAGGCAGAAGAGACAGGCTGGGCTAAGAAGAACCAGCATCTCAGGCCTGGCCCTGTCACCACTGGGTCTACACTCACCTCCACTCCCATAGGCCTCTGTGGCTACTGGCTCGGGGCCCCGAAGTTTCCTCTTCACACGGGCGTCTCGCTCCCTGGGGAATATGGTGGTGGTGGTGGTGGTGGTGGTGATGATGATGATGATAGTTCTTACCAGGTGCCAGGCATGCACCCTCCCAGGGGCCCTTTCAGGTGTGTGTCATTATTATACCCATTTTACAGATGAAGGAACTGAAGGCCTGATAATTAAATGACTGGAAAGTAGCAGCAAAGCTGGGATTTATTCGCCCCTGAAAATTTTCCGATCGTTTCCCATTGCATTTCGAATCCGTGGGAACTTTTTCCAGAGCTACCAGGCTCACCCTACCTTGCTCGCTCTGGCTGTCTCTGCTCGCCAGCCTTTCTGCTCCCTCTTCTGGCCCCTCTTCACCTGTTTAACTCATCCTTCTTGTCTTAATTTAGGCATAACTCCCTCAGGGAAGCCCTCCGACCTCCCACAGCACCACACACCCTAACTGGTAACATTTGTCAACAGTTACACTGTCACATTTGTTAGGAGGGTCCTTTGATGAACTTCTGTCTCTTCTACCTTGAGGGCAAGGCCCACCTCTGAGGGGGCTGTAGTCGAATAGAGGCCAAAGTCCTAGCGAAAACTTTGCTGCCCAGCGTCATCTGTCTGGTTGCCCATTGCCTCTCTCACTGCCCTCTAGCCACACACCAGAGGCATGTTGCCACCTCAGGGCCCTTGCACACGCTGACCCCACTCCCTGGCATGCTGTTCCCAGATACCCACATGGCTCTCTCCCACAATTCCTTCAGGTCTTTTCTCAAACGTCTCTTCTCAGTGAGGTCTTTCCAGGCCTCTTATCCAATAAATACCTCACTCCGGTGCTTCCTATCTTGCTTTATTTCTTTTACCTTTAGACATACATCATTTCTCTCATTTAGTTGTCTACTCTGGCCACCTGAGTGTCAATTCCGTGAGGGCAGGGCTTTGGTTTGTTCTGTTTACTGATGCACCTCCAGTGCCTAGAACTGTGCCTGGCACATGAGCCGGTGCTAATTAAGTATTTGTCGAATCAGTGTTTTTACTGAACGCGATCTTCCTGGCATCCAGCATAGTGGCACATAGTGGGTAATTAAGAAATATTTGTTCAGTGAATGAGTGAGAATGAAGGGTGCCCACCTCTTACAGTTTCTGCCATTCTCCCGGAAACCCTTGGCAAAGGGGTTGGCTGCAATCTTCAGCTGTGTGATCTGGGGGCACACATCCACAGTCAGAGCTCCCGTAGCCTGGGCAGGGTGCCACCACCCCCTCAAGCAGGGTCACTCACCCGTGGGTTCTGGTAAGCTGTCACCGAGATGAACGTGGTCTCGGGGAAGCGGAAGGAGGCGACGCCCCCCCAGTGCTGGCTGCACAGTTGGGCAGCCCGTACCAGGTGGATTCGGGGCTGATACTTATGCATGGAGTGCAAGATCAGCTGGGAGAGAAGAAACAGGAGTGACCTCCAGCCCTGCTCCTCACTCCCACCCGCCATCCCGGGGTCCCAGCCTGGGCCTCACGTGGCCGTGGGGGTCCAGAGTGCTGTTGGTGAGCTTAACACGATGGAAAGACACAGGCTGCCGCATCCAGTGAGCACCGGTGGCAGGGGAGTCGGGATGAATGTAGACCCGGTCGGGTAGGCGGGGCTCCGCCTTGCCGCTGGGCTCCCAGCGCCGGCCCTGCCAGCGGTAGCGGGCCCCGTCCACTGGCACCACGTCCAGAAGAAACAGGTAGCGGGCCTCGGGGTCCAGACCGGTGACTGATACTCGGCAAGCAGGGAACATGCGCCTGGATAGGAGAGAGGATGGGAGAGGCCTGGAGCTACCCACGAGCCAGAGGTGGGCACAGCCCCGGCAAGGGGGCAGAGACACCAGCTCCGACAGAAGTCGAACATTCGAGGTGGCGTTAAAACTGAGGGCAGCGTCTGGAAGCGTGTTTTCCCCCATTTTACAGGTAGGAAACAGGACAGGCAAGGTAGGTGATCTGACCAGGCAGGGTAACACAGCAGGTTGGAGCCAAGCTCAGACTCCCGACTCCTGGCCCCTCAAAATCCATATGCAGAAACAGGGGTGACACACTTGTCTCCCGGAAATCTTGCCAGGAGCCTCCTTGCTCTCCACCCTGGTCTCTTCTCCTGATCTTCAGCACCAGAATCTATAACTGCTGGACAAACTTGCTTCAGGAAAAAATAAATAAATAAATAAATAAAAAAGCCCTGACGTCACTGGGATAAATAAAAAAGGCCTGACTCCTCCTGGCCCCTAGATAAAAACCCCCACGAGGCCACACACTGACAATATCCCTGCCTCCAGGGTGACCGGTCCCGAGTCGCATAATGACAAACTCCAACCCTAATCCCGATCCTAGCCAGATGTCCCTGAGGGTCACTGGCTGGCCCTTGACCCTTCTCATAGTCTGAACCCCAGCTCCAGTCACAGACGGACCCCTTGTGCTAGGCCGCATACTAACCTATAACCCAACCAGACTTTCTGACCCTGGCTCAGACTGACTTATGACCCTGCCACAGCATGACCCCTGAACCAGTCACTGAGTAACCCTCTGACCCAGGCCACAATCACAGTCTTAAGCAGAGCTATAGCCCCCTTAAGAACCCTCAAACCCAGCCCCATCACCAGGAACTCTGCCTTTTCCAAGAGACCCCCCTCCAGGAACAGTGGGTCCTTGGAGCCTGGCCCAGCCCCCTCACCTCCCAGCTTTGGTGATGATCATCTCTGTTCCCACAGAATTGAACTCTTTCCACAGCTCCCGGTTCTCCAGGCTCAGGCTGACTCCAGGGAGTGAATGAAGGGCCTCTGCAGCTGGCGGGGCCGACTCAGTGCCCAGGACTGGGGGCAGAGGTGGGGGAGCAGCCAGGGTGCGGGGACCAGCCTCAATCCCAGAGAGGAAGCAATCCAGTTTGGGTGTGTCAAGGTCTGGAGATTGGGGGGTGGGGAATGAGAAGCCATCCCAAGGCCATGGCACTTCCCAATCCCTATACAGAAATGCACCCCAAAACTCACCAGGGTAGCAGTAGCCCTCTGCCAGGGCAGGCGGGAAGCTGGAATCGGCCCCTGGCTGAGGGGGCCCAAGGCGGTAGCTGGTCCCCAGGGAGGGGTACAGCTCCCTTGGATGGTACATGGAGTAATCTTGTCTGGCCTCAAGTCACGCTGTCTAGAGTCCCCCGGTGTTGAGAGATGCCCCCTTTATAGCTCACAGCTCAGCCCCTTCCAGACCCAGGATCACAGCCCCTCCCTCTTTGGGGCCCTGGAGTTGAGCTGAGGTGGAGACCCTTGGGGCCTGGAAGGGGTCTAAGAGGGTACCCTCCCCTTCCCCCCCCCCCAGGCTTCATTAGCCCCAACCCCCTGCCCCCTCATTACATAATTAACTCATCGGCCTGATTGATCCCCAGGGCTTGGACAGGGACGCAGTTTGGCGCTTCCGGCCAGCTGGTCCCCGTTCCCACGCGGGGGGGTGGGGGGGTGGGGAGCCCCGGCTAGGGATAGCTACTGAGGGGTGGGGCTTGGACCCGGGGATGGAGCAGACCTTGCCAGCTCCAGACTTTTCTGGCAGGTGACCCCCCACCCCCACCCCCGCCACACACACACACACACACACACACACACGCACGCACGCACACACGCACGCCTTGGAGGACGGGGTTTTGGAGGGACTAAACATGACTGGAGGGAAAGAGCAGGGATGGAGGGAGGTAACCTGAGCTTATTGTTATGCAGGGCACTGGAGTCCGCAGCTGAGGGCCGAACCCTGGAGTCCGTCCTGGTTCCCATTCTGAAAAACCTCCACTCTCATCCAAGTCTCGAAAGTTCAGAGGTCCCCACAGCAATATAGTCTGACCCGCTGGCTCATGGGTTTCCCAGAAGGTCCCGTGCTGGGGAACCCTGGGAACTACACTTCCCAGCAGTCCCACCGCCCACTTCGGCGCGGAGGAGATAGACAGATGCCGTTGGGTCCGCTAGAAATTGTAGTTGGAACGAGCAGGGCAGCGGGCCGCTTGCCTCTCAGGAGAGCTGCTCAACCTCTAAGGCTGAGGAGACGCAGATCAGCCAAAGTCAAGGCCTAAGGAGCCAGCGTGGGCTGGGGAGTCACGAGCAGTGAGACCTGCCCTGGGTTCTAGAGATGGCTGAAGCCAGGTCCTAGGAGCGCAGGCTCCCACCTCTGATCGCCCTGCCTACCCGCTGTCGCCGCATTGGGGCTGAGAAGGAAACTGGTCTGTAGAGGCAGGAATCTGCATTTGAGTCCCCACTTCCCGATTCCACATGAGCCTGGTGCTGTCTCCACTCCATTTTTTTTTTTATTATGTACAAACGCTACAGAACAAGGGGAGCAGACACGCGTGCTCTAAGAGGGGCCCGGTGGGAGTTCACGGGGCAGACGGTGCACTGGGGCTATGAGAGCAGCACACAGGCCATATCTATAGGGGAGGCGGGGCGGGAAGAGGTTAAAAATGAGATCCAAGCCAGCCAGATCGCAGGAAGGTGCGGGGGTGTCGTCCACCAGATTCTGATCTCCCCCCAAGGTCACAGTGCATGCAATAAAATATATGTACAGGAGCTGGATCCTTCCTTGACAGGGGCTCCGAGGGTCCAGAGCTCCCTTCGGGCGGAGGGAAGCCAGAGGCGCCCCCTGGCGGCCAGGCCGGGCTGGAGCCACATGTGGCAAGAACAGGGGTCAGTCCCAACCGTTGTCTTTGATCATGTGGTTGAGTTCAATGATGTACTTCCCCTCTTTGTACTTCTGGCTGCTCTCGAAGGCCTGTTCCTGAAAGGAGGGGAGAGGCCGTCATCCCTGGAGCAAGGCCTTTATCAATAGGGATAGGGGCTGGAGCATGGATATGACTGGCCCCACTTCACGTATTAGAAAACTGTCACCCAGACAAACTAAGCCACCCACCTGCCCACAGACACAGAGCTGATAAGCAGCAGGGCCAAATTTCTCACTACCAGGGGATAGGCAGAGCTCTCTGAATCATGGGTACTTTTTAAGTCCTAATGTTGGCTCCAACAATGAGAATATGGAAGTTTCTAAAAGACCCAGGGATTACAAATGCAGAGCCTGAGGGTCAATTTTGGACTACCCATGTGTTTTGTTTGGCCAGCAGAGAGTTGAATAAAAATAACTTTGAAATACGAAAATACAGGCAGCCCATGCTCACGCCGATTTCCCAGACTGCCCCATCCCTTGCTCCCCCGGGGCCACAGTATCTGCTTGGCCCTGCAAGCACGTGGGGTTTTCACTGCTACATTAGTCCACCTCTTTATTTCACAGAGATCCAAAAGGGCCAAGCCACCTGTCCAGAGACACAAAGCAAGTGTGTGACAGGGTCAGGGGTGAAGCCAGGTCAGGGCTGTCCGCCTGCCTCTGCCAGGGGCGTCCACAGCTCCAAGGGACTGCCGTTTCCCAAGCACATCTTTTGCTGCATCTAATCTGATCCCCGTAACAATCTTGGGTGCCAGGGGGGTGGCTTTAGCCTCCACTGCCAGATAAGGAAATGCGACTCAGTGTAGTGAAATCAGACCCTGCACAGCAGCCGTGGCATTGAGAGCAGTGGTAATGCAGGTGCGTGGACCCAAGCTCCCCACACACTACTGTGGGGTCTTGGGCAACTTCTCTCATCCTCTGAATAGAAGCTGGGGTCGAGAGTTTGGAGTTAAAACAAAACAAAAGTAGGATTCTGGTCCCTATTCTGTTACTTACCAGTTGGTTGTGTGACCTTGGACAAGGGACCTAACATCTCTGGGCCTTCCTTTCTTCTTCTGTAAAGTGGAGATAATAATAGACTCTACCTACAGGGTTGCTGTAATGATTGAATGAGATAATATACGCCAAGCACATAGCAGTGTGTGGCAATAAGCATTCAATACAAGGGAATTCTGATTATATCCTCATGTCAAAAATGGGGGTGCTTGGGCCAGCGAGGAGAGGGATGGGCTAAGAGAAAAATTCTAAAAAAACCCTTGCAGGATGTGAGAGGAGAGAACATGTTCAAGGGATGGAAAGACAATCTGACTCGTGTGAGCTGGGCCTGTACACTCTGAAAGATTGCCAGATGATGGTGTGTGATGTGAGGACAGGTCAAAGGCTAGCCTGGGGTCAGAGGTCACTGACTCACATATTTCCAGCCCAGAGTGGTCTTGCAGTTTTCGCAGTGGATGTCAGCGACAGCATGAAGGCCTGTCAGCAGCACCCGTTCCTCGGCTGGCCCGCAGCCCACGTTCACCCTGTGGGGACATGGTGGGGGGACGGGGGGGGGCAGTCCCAGGGAGGGTCCCGCCATCACACGGCTCTCCCTTTCTAGCTTGCATCCAATTGTGTCTGTCCTTAGCATCCAAGAGAAGGGCCATCATCATAACTTTTTGCTGGGAGTCTCAGCATGGTGCCAGGGGTCACAGGTCACAACAGAGGTCAGAGGTCAGGGACAGAAATATAGGAAGCCAAATACTCACACAGAGTTGAAGAGGTAGGCACGCCCCTGGCTTCCTTGGAAGGACTAAAGGGTGGGAGCGAGAGAGGAGGGGGTCAGGGCTATTGGTGGGGGGCTGCCAAGAAGCCCCTCTAGCCTCCTATTCCAGCTCAAATTGTGACGTGGTTACCTTGGAGATGAGGTCGTCGTGGTTGGCCAGGTGAGCACGGCAGTGGGCACAGCTATACCTCCGGTGACAATCATCCAAATAGGCCTGAAACGTCTTGGGCTTTGAAATCCGCACCATGGCGGGGGCCGGGGGCAGTGGCCCCACGCGGGGAGCGGCCCACGGGGAGCAGAGGGAGCCCAGTGCCTATGAGGAGGGAGGGAATGGACTGTCAGTACCCAGGCCACACACACGCAGGCACACCCAGGGCCACGGGGACTCTCTCTGTCACACTTGGCTGCTGTCTCCTCTCCCCAGAGCCAGCAGCCTCTCCGGGGGCCAGAGCTGTCTCAGTTTTGACTCACTGAAGAGGCCTCAAGTTGTAGCAGCGGGGAAACTGAGGCTAGGAGGAGCCCAAGATGAGTCACCCACCTGCTTTCCGCCTCACCCCTGCTGACCTGGCAATTGAAGCTGGAGGAAAGGGGGGCTTTAGCGTGGATGAGCTGTCAGAGGTCTGTTTAGGGGGAGCATGGAGGAGTTAGGAATTTGGCCCTCTGAACCGCGGGGGGTGGGAAGGAGGGTTGGCGGAGACTTCACTTAAGGTACAGGGAGTTCACCTGGGGCGTGGGTCCCTCACCTGGAGAAGGCTGGAGGCCTCAGTGAAGGTGAGGGTCCCCTAGGATGGGAGGGGCTCTTACCTGGGGACGCTGAGGCCAAGAGACTCTTACCTGCATCGCGGAGCCTTACCTGAGACCCCGAGGCTCACCTGGGGCGCGGGATGGGGTACGGGCGCCGGGGGAAGGGGGCAGTCCTCGCTGGCGGGGCGGGGGCGCGGGGCGACGCGCAGCCCTGACCATGTGGGCCTCACCTCGCCTGGGCGCGCGGGGGCCCGGTCCGCCGGGGTGGCCTGGCCTGGGAATGGGGGACGCTCCTGGTGGGCGCCGTCCCCCCCGGCCCGGGTTCGCAGCCGCCGCGACTTGTTTACACCGAGACCAGCTGCTGCCGCCGCTGCGACGGGAGGGGGAGGGAACCGGCCTCTGGTCTCGGCGGTCGCCGTGGCCAATCGGCGCGCAGCATGCAAATGAGGGGGCGCGTCACTAGCGGCCAGCGCAGGCCCGGGCTGCCCTTCCCCCCGGCCCCGGCTCTGGCCAGCCCGGAAATGCGGCTGCGGCTCGCAACCCAGCCCGCCGCCCTTCTGGCTTCCAGCGGTCCTTGAAGGGGCGAGGATCTGAGGTACCACTGACCCAGCGTGGAGTTAGGAGGGGTACGGTGTCCGGATGCACGCCCTTGGGATGTTATAGTCGTAATTACCTGTGTTTACCTACCACCCGTGCCCCGCTCCCTTAACTCCCACGTCAATCCTAGGAGGCAGCTTCTGCTATTGTTCCCGTTTTACCTGGAACTGAGGTCCAAAGAGAGCTAGCAGCTCCCTCGCGGTTACCTAGTCGGTAAGTCGCGATGCTCACTTTGGTCTGACTCCACGGTGCTTGCCATGGCACCAGGGACAGACTCTTGGGATCAAGGAAGAGCTAAAGGTGTAGACTTCTGGGACCCAGAGCCTGGGAACAAGCCTCCTCCTACACTGAGCATCACCTCCTCAGTAGGCAGCCACCTCAGATACCCCAGCCCCCTCAGGCAGAGTTGATGCCTACTGTGGGCGTCCCCCTTTCTCACCTGCAAATATCTGTTTAAACTTGTGTCTTGTTCCCTGCAGTAGCCTCAGGACCCAGCCTGGCCTAGAGTAGTCACTACGCGTTTGTGAAATGTAATAGTATGTGTCTCATTAAACGAATAAGGTACTGGGGCTAGAGAAGGGCAGAGGAATTCAGGGCGCTCCTGGAGTAGGAAACTAGGAGGGAAAGGTTGAAGGGCTGAGGCAGCAGCTGGGTGGTGCCATGAACTCAGCTGTCCCAGCGGGTCCCCACCCTCAGCAGCCAGGGAAGGAGGTCCACAGGGGCAAGTCAAGTCCCTTGCTGTGAGCCCCATGCTCGGAATGGCCTCAGGAGAATGGACCCATTATCTGTGGCTCTAAAGGGACATTCCTGAGGAGAGTGGAGACCAGGTTGGCACAGGGTGTGGCATTACTCTGGGTCTGGAATGTGGTGGAACTGGTAGGTCAGGCTGTTTGGGGGGGCGGGGGGGGGG